AGATCTCTGAGTTCGAGGTCAACCTTGTCTACTGAGTTTAAGGCTGGCCTGGTTTACAGAGTGAGTCCCAAGACAGGCAGGGTTACAAAAAGAAACTCTGTCTTGCGGTGGGGAGGGGGGGAGGGGCGAGAAAGAGGATCAGAAAGGTTCAACTAAATACAACACATTGCCAATAAAAGTATGAACTGGAAATAAATCTCTTGTTCTTTTCTCCAGTTGGAGGAAGTGAATTTAGGGACTGATAGAGACTAAGAATTTGTGTCCTCAGGTCTCTGACCTCCAATCCAAAGAGTTTGCCTAAACTGAATGTATGTGAGGAGCAACATCAATTCAAATGTCTAACCTGGCTTTGCGTTTTAATACCTGTGATCATGGCATTTATGAGGCTAGACAAGAAGATTTTGAGTTTTGTCAGGATGGGGTTAAATAGCAAGAATCAAACAAGAAAGGAAGGGAGGAAGGAAGGAAGGAAGGAAGGAAGGAAGGAAGGAAGGAAGGAAGGAAGGAAGGAAGGAAGAGCTAATTCCTAAAATGTGAGGGGAAAGACCACTGACCTAAATTAGCATAGCCAAATTAAAAAAGCAAGCTTTTTTTATTCTTGTACATGGGCTGCCTTGAGAAAAAGAGGTTTAATTGTAAACAGGAATGAGCCAAGTTTATCTTTACTATAAAATAGCTTTTAAGTCTAAGATGGGGGCAGGATGGTTCATCAAAAGGTTTTTAATTTGGATTTCTCAGTTCAACCATGAGAGGTGATTTTTGATTTTGTTAGTTTTTGAGACAATGCCATGTACTTCAAGCTGCTCTCAATGCCTCATCCTTCTACTTCTGCCTCCGGGGTGCTGGGATTAAAAGTATGCACCTCCAAACCTAGCTGTAAGTAGCCAGTTTCAACAAAGATTAGCCTTTCCGTGGCCAGCCCCTGACAGTTTCCTTTGGATCCATATCGACATGAGTACTTTAGCAAGAGGAGCTCTAAATGAAAAAAAAATCTCTTTCTTTTACCAACCCTTACCTCTGCCTGAATAGAGAGAGCTGTAGGCGTGTGTCACAATGCCTGGTTGATCAGAAATTGTCAATGTAAAATTTCTAGTGCCTGGTGTAAAATCTAATAAGGTGATGGTAGCAGCAACTGCTGCTGCTGCTACTACTTTTGTTTTTATTTTTCAAGGCAGGGTTTCTCTGTTTAGTCCTGGCTATCCTGGAACTCACTCTGAGTTCGAACTCAGAGATCTGGCTGTCTTTGGCTCCTCAGTGCTGTGATTAAAGATGTGCACCACCACTGCCCGGCAATGTTACTGATGTGGGATTCCCCTCTCTATGCTATGAATATGTTTTACTAACATTGGTTAATAAAGAAGCTGTTTCAGCCAATGGCTTAGTAGAGTAAAGTCAGGTAGGAAATCTGAACAGAGATAAAGAGAGAAAGTAGGTGGAGTCAGGGAAAAGCCAGATGTCAGCCAGAACCTTACTTGTAGGCCACAGCCTCGTTGCGATACACAGAATAATAGGAATGGGTTAATTTAAAATATGAGTTAGCTAAAAATATGCTTAAGCTATTGGTCAAACAGTGTTGTAATTAATATAGTTTCTGTAATATTATTCGGGTCTGGGTGACTGGGAAATAAGTGAGCAGTCTCCACCTACATGTTACTACTTTTTAAAAGACAGATTCTCATTCAGTAGCCTTGGTGGGCCTGGAACTCAGCTCTTTAGATCAGGCCGATCGTGAACTCTGCATCACCACTGTGGACTGAATGGTCTTAGTTAAACCTATAGGGTTATGTATTTTTGCTGTCTGTCGAAACTAAGTTGGCCTAGAGAGATGACTCAATGGATAAAGGCATTTGCCACCAGGCCTGATTATCTAACTTTGGTCCCCGGAACTCACACTGTGGAAGAAGAGAACTAATTGTTGTTAGTTTTCTTGAGACAAGGTCTCATTATATAGCTCTGGCTGTCCTGGAACTCTCTAGGTAGATCATCTTGCCCTCGAACTCATAGAGATCCGGCTGCAACTTCTGCAAGCAGTCTCCTGATCTCTACAAGTATGGCCATGTGCACCCACCCACACACACACACACACACACACACACACACACACACACACACACACACAAAGGTAAGCAAAACAAAGCAAAAGAAAAAAAGCAGTCAGCCAACCAAACAATAACCCAGGTTGGTGGTTGTGTTGTTCCTACATGTTCTTCTCTCTTGACTTTCCTCTTTAGGCCTCTGCTCCCGCCTATGATGTTTAAAGAAGATGGTGCTGGTAGCTGAAGGTCTGCTCCCGGTGAGGCACAGTGGGTACAAAACAAAGCAAGACCCCAAGCCTCTCCACTCCTCACTCTATTCCCTCAGACCGTCATGGGTTCTTCGGAACTTCAAGGGGCTACTCCCTGAGCACCTTGAAACCTTCCAGAAAAATTTTAATTTATTAAATAAAAAAAAATGCATCTGACTGTGGGCATATACACATGAGTACTGCCTCCCCACAGAGGCCAGAAGAGGGTGTCAGATCCCCTGGAGCTGGAGTTACAGGCAATTGTAAGCCCTTTGACTGGCGCTGGGAACTGAACTCATATCCTCTGGAAGAATAGTAAGCGTTCTTAACCTCTAACCCATTGTACCATCACTCCAGCCCCTTTGGGAATTTTCTTAACAAACAAGTTCTAATTCTCCATTTTCCAACTCTTCTTCTTTTGTTTTTGTTTTTTGAAAAAGGATTTTTTTTTTCTGGGTAGTTCTGGCTGTCTTAGAACTCACTTTGTAGACCAGGTTGGCCTCAAACTCACAGAAATCCACCCACCTTTGTCTCCTGAGTGCTGGAATTAAGGGCAAGAGCCACCATGCCTGGCCTCATTTTGCACTTCTGTAATAATTAAAAATTTTTAATGTTAATTTTTTAAAATCCAAGAGTAACTTTTTATTAGCAGCATGCCTCTTATTTGTTAGCTATTATGTTGAATTCTGTAGGCACACAGACCATTAGGACAAGCGTCAGCATATGAGAAACGGAAAAGCCTCGAGCTGTAAGGGAAGAGGCTAGGTTTACTCTAGTACTGATGAGCCTTTACTATTTTTTCTTTTTAAAATTAATTTAAAACTTAGTATTCAAAATAGTAAATTTCTTAATAGCATTTCCATAGTATGTGTTCTCATTCTTTGTTATAACTCAACATTTTTTGTTGGGGGGCAGGGTCTCTTTATGTAGCTCTGGCTGTGTTGGAACTCAGAAGTCTGCTTACATCTGCCTCTTTGGTGCTGGGTTCAGAGGCATTCACCACTATGCCTAGCTAAACAGGGACATTTTATTTATCCATTTGTTTACTTGAGACAGAGTCTGTTATGTAGCTCTGGCTATCCTGGGACTCAATATGTCAAACAGGCTGGCCTCGAACTCACAGAGATTCTCTTGCCTCTGCCTCCCAAGTGCTGGGATTAGAGACAAGTGCCACCATGTCTGACCTGAATCCTCACCATCACCTTTCTCTTCTTCTTCATGTTGATATCTGCACAGTAGTATGCTTACTATTTGTTGAACGAAAACATAAAATAGTTTACAACAGAGGGGTTGGAGACGTAGCCGAGTGACAGAATACTCACTTAGTGTGTGAGAAAGAGGTCCTAGAAGGTCCTTTGCAGGAAAACAGTGTATATCTTTCTCTGTTTGTTTGACAGAGGTCTAGCTTTGCCTGTCCTACAAGTTACTATGTAGAACAGTCCTCAAACTGCATCGATCCCCTTGCCTCTTCAGGAGGACTGGGTTGGTGAGCTCACTGCTTAAGCAAAAAGGTATTTTCCTTATTTGCTTATTTAAAAAATTCAGATATTTTGTACAGTTTTATCAGAATCTGGCTGTTAGGCCAGCCTAATGATTCTCTTTTTTCCTTCAGAGGTACACTCAATTTCCAAAATAAGCCCATTTGTCATTTTCTTTCTTAAAGGGTAGGAGGGAACTGAAGTTTTCAGTGGTTGTGAATCATGTGAGTGCTGAGAACTGAATCCAGATTCTCTGCCAGAATAGCCAGGTGGTGGTGGTCCACACCTTTAATCCCTGCACTCAGGGTGAAGAAGCAGGCAGATCTCTGTGAGTTCAAGGCCAGCCTAGTCAACAGAATGAGTTCCAGGAGAGGCTCCAAAGTTACACAGAGAAAAAAAAGAAAGAAAAAAGGTAGCAAGTATGCTTAACCACTGAGCCCCCATGCCCAGCTTTTATGTGGGTGCTGGGATTTGATCTTTGAATGACAAACATTCTTACTCGTTGAGACGTCTCCCTAGCTCATTTTGTCATTTTCAAGGCCAAAGAAGCTATAGGTTGCATTTGCTTGATGTGGTCAGTGTATTTCATTGACTCAATACAGGATTTAGATTTCAGGGTTAGCAAAGACAGCCCATATTTTCTGAGCGCTGAACTCAAGAATTTCCTGGACTGAGTTCTATCTGCCTCTGACTTGCTCTAGGGGAGAAAAGACTCTTCAGAAATGAGAGGCAATAGTTTAGTAAGACTTTGAAATCTTGCATTGGTGTCTAGGCTACTTCCACATGCACACTGGGCTCAGAGTCCCTAGATTTTAGACTTTCTGCTGAAACCCGATGTATATAAAATTTAGGAGGGTCCAGTTCTCCAAATCAATTAGGGAGGCCCAAGGACCCCGAGTTCTCTCAGTTTTCCTCGTGTTTGGAATACAGATGAAGCACTAGTCGCCATCTTGCTATCAAATGCTAGGCAAGCAGCCACTGGCGTCGTTCGGTTACCACGGTGACACCCTGGCTTCCCACTCTTAAAGGCTGGAAACTACAAATCCCGTCAGCCGACTTCCCCTCCTGGCTCTCGAGGGCTCCAGATTTGGCTTGCACACAGTCGTGACTCTACGCAGGGACCCGCGGGAGTTGCTGTTCGCCGCGTGTTCTCGCCTTGCAACGCACGAGCCTCCAGAACTACAAGTCCCGTGAAGAAGCGAAGCGCGCACGCGCTGTGCCACGCGTCCCCCTCAGCACCCCCGACCCCCCCTCCCGCCCGTGCCAAGAGGTGAGAGAGGGCGGGGGAAGGAAGAGGAGGCGGGATCGGGGCGCTGCGTTGGCTGCGGCCTGGCACGAAAGGGGCGGCCCCGGCGGAGAGGAGACCCAGTAGCCCGGGCGATTATGGACCCGGCAGAGGCGGTGCTGCAGGAGAAAGCGCTCAAGTTTATGGTGAGGAGATGGTGCGGGCTGGGGAATGGTGGAGGAGGTGGCTGGCGTTGGCGCATCTCCGAGCTCAGGCCTGGGTCGCCCGCTCACCGCGGGAGGGGGCAGTGGGACCTGGGGCCAAGGCCGGTGGTGGAGAGGCGGAGGGAGGGACTGGACTGGAGCTCGGGGGAGGGGGCAGGAGGGTGCAGAGGGGACCCTGGGGTGGGGGCAGCAGCTCCGCCATCTTGTGGAAGAGAGGCCAAGTGACAGTGGGAGCGCATTCGAGGTGGGGGCTCCTGGCGGCGCGCGGGGCCCTGGAGGGAAAGGGGCGTGGGGACAGTTACTGAAGAGCGGAGGAACCAGGGTGGAGAGACGCCTGAGGACGCTGGCAGGGGCCTTCCCGGTGTCAGGGTTCCGGGTAAGGCCTGGGAGAGGAGGTGCATTCAGGAGTGGGGAATAGTGGGGAGCTCAGGATAAAGGCAAGACACACTGGGGGCAGGGGAAAACTGGGCAGGGCTGGGTACTGATGGGTTTAACGGTGAAGGGGGAAAAGCCCAGGCTGGGGGAGGCAAGTAGTTTTGTAGAAGAGCTGGGAGGATAGCTTTTTGGCTAAGGGCGGAATCCCAGTTGGCCAAACTAATGTTGTCAAACTCTGGAAGAGAACAGGCCTTGTGTAGAAGATAAGGACTCAGACCTAGAGCTATGGTAACAGTCCCTGGGAGAGAAAGGCACTGTTGACTGTGAGCCAGAATTACAAATATCAAAAAGGAGATAGATACATGCTTTGCTTTGCAGGGGAGGCAAGATTATAAGAAATGTAGGCACAAGCAAATGGGGACAAATTTAATAACCAATAGGAGAGAAGGCAAAACAAAACTTAGGCTTTAAGTGGTAAGGCAGTAAAATGTGGAGGCCAGGTGCTGTTTCACTTTCTGCACTTTCTGGGAGAGGAAAGGCCTTGGGGGAATGCTAAGAGCTGTTAGAAATTCTAGAGAGGATGAGGAAAGAAGTAGAAAATACGCCAGGGTTAGTGGTTGCCCTGAGCTAGAGGTTTAAGCAGAGTGTAGGCATTGCATTTTGAGGGTATGTTTAGACCTCTAGACCCCGTTTCTTTAACTTTGTATGGGGCTTTTCCTTTGCTGTGCTTGTGTTTAGCAACCTGGGTTAGGTTGATATTTGATGCTTTTAATCTGATGCTTCTTGGATATCCTAGGTGTAAACCAGCCTCTGGTTACATCTAAAGACGATGGGATGCATAGATTTTTTTTTTTTTAGCTTAACAGGTGGTCCTAGGGACTTTGGTATTATTTGCAATTATGTCTTTGTTTTTCAGAAGTAATTGTAACTCATCATTCCAAATAGCATTCTTTTATTGAATAGTTGTTTTTCATCTTTGCCTAAAATGCCATAACAAATTAGATAAATATAGACACCGACTCAGTTTAAAATTAGGTTTTAAATTGCCCCACTCATATTTATAGAAGCTGGTCAAATTTAAGTTTTTATTTTGGGGGCTGGAGCAATGGCTCAGCATTGCTGCTCTCCTGGAGGATGAAGGCTCGAGTCCCTACACCCACGTGGTGGCTCCCAGTGGTTTGTAACTCCAGTCCCAGGGGACCCGCCACCCTCCTGGCCTCCTTAAGCTGAAGGCTCACAAGTGGCGCACAGACATTCATGTAGACAAAACATCTGCACACTTAATAAATGAATAAATACATTAAAAAGTTTTTGTATTAATACCTTCAAAAACATCTAACTAAAGTTTGTCATTAACAGAATTCTATTGAGCCTAAAGGTATTTCTTGCAGTTCTGGCTTGTGTTGACATTCTAAAATATTAAGAGACCCTCTTCAGCCTGTCATGGTGGCTTACACTTTATAATTCAGCATTAAGAAGCTGAGGCAAGTCGGTCGAGGTGGCCCATGTCTTTAATCCCATCATTTGGGAGGCAGAGGCAGGTGGATCTCAGTTTAAGGCCTGCCTGACCTGCAGACTGAGTTCCAGGACAGCCAGAGTTACATAGTGAGTCCCTGTCTCAAAAATACAAATACAAAACAAACAAAAAAAAAAAAAAAAAGAAGAAACTGAGGCAGGAGTGTTACCATGAGTTTAAGGCCAGCTTGGGCTATAGAATTAGACCCTGTTTCGAAAGACCATAAACAAACAAGCTGAGTGTGGTGGTGCATGTCTAGAATCCTAGCATTTGAGAGACTGAGGCAGAAGGATCTGGAATTCGAGACTAGCAAGTTAAGGCAGTCTGGACTACTATCAGCAAAGAGACCTTGAAATTTGGGGACAGTGAATGGAAGTCAAAGTTGCTTTTATTTCTTCAGTCAGTTCAACATGGATTCAGAAAGTGCTCAGTGTGGTTTTCCACGTCAGAGGGTTGACTTCCAGTACCATCTTGATAGTCAGATTTATGGAACAGTGTATGGAATAAAGGGGCATTATGAGATCACCCCTTTTCGCTCCTGTAAGTCTCAGCCTAGGAAGGTTCGGAACTCCTTCAGCTGTGCTTTGTGCCAGTGAGTTAGGTGTTGAGAATGGCCTCCGGATTAAGAGCACTTGGAGATGGCTCAGTAATAGCTCGTAGCTTCGAGGGTACCACACATTATTGAGTGTGGAGCCAGTCACTAGAGAAGCCAATTTTTCTTTAATTTTTAGTTACTTTTTGACCTTGCTATTGTGACTGCTTTTTGAAGCAACTTGAAGAGAGTTGCTAAGAGTGACATCCCAATAAGAGAAGCAGAGCACAGAGATTTACTATCCTCGTTTGGCTCAGCCACAGCCCTATTATGAATCCAAGTAAGTCTCTACTTTCCCTTGGTGGCATTACCCTACTATAACACCTCTACCTGTTCAGACTCAATTTTAAGATAAAGAAGGCATTGTATTTGATTGTATCAAATAGTTAATGCATAGTGCAAAGTGGAAGGGTTATTCGTTTAGTCAATTTTTTTTTCTTTTTTCCGAGACAGGGTTTCTCTGTGGTTTTGGAGCCTGTCCTGGAACTAGCTCTTGTAGACCAGGCTGGTCTCGAACTCAGAGAGATCCGCCTGCCTCTGCCTCCCGAGTGCTGGGATTAAAGGCATGCACCACCACCGCCCGGCTAGTCAATTCTTTCAGTGAAATTTTTGGTGTGTTTCCTCAGTTGTTAATAACTTTGGTACAGTTTTTTTTTGTTTTTTTTTTTTTTTGACAAGGTCTCTCTGTAGCTTTGGCTGTCCTGGAACTTTCTATGGAGACCAGGCTGGTCTTGAACTCACAGAGAACTGCCTGCCTCTGCCTCCTGAGTGCAGGAATTAAAGGTGTGTACCACCACATCCAATTCAGTTGAAAAAATTTAATGTTAAATTTGTTGAGAATGTCAACATGGAATCGAATATTGTCATGAATTTACTTAATATCACATTAATGTAGCACTCTGCTTACAATAAATTGTTATTAATGCTACTACTAATTTCAAGTAGACTATTCCTACATGTTTTAGACTTAAAACTTGTCCTACAGTACTTATGAAAAGTAGTGTAAGTTGATTAACTTGTGAAAGCAGATAAGTAAGAAGAAAGCAGTAGTTTGCATTAAACAGTCTGTGTGCTGATGTCTCTCAGCTTTAGCAAGTCCTAAGGGCCTTTCTTCAGCCAATAAAAGTATAGAACCCCAGAAGAGATAAGGACTGGAAGAGAGCCTGAGCTGCAAAATGAGAAGGATGGAGAGGAGCTAGAGCACATGGCTATTTAGGACTGTATGGGGGAATAGAAAGATATACTAAGGGATAAATTGGTTTTGTTCCAGAAATAGGATAAATGTATTCTTTTCCAGCAGTCCCAAGATCAAGTGGGGAAAAATAATTTTAAGACATTTTGTTCCAAATAATGATCCAATAAGCAAAATATCATAAAGAGGCGAACATTGCTAATATGACACAATCCTATACTCCTTACATGTAGAAGGCAGAGACAGGAAGATGATGAGGTTGAGGCCAGACTTTGAGTTCAGATAGGGTCCAAAGCCTGCTTTTCCCTGTGCAAACCTTTGAGTATAGTGACTTGTGCTCCAAGGAAGAGTAGTGCAGAAAATAGGAAGTCCTTTTGTGCTAGATTTGAAGTTCAAGATAGGAAAACGTAAAGAGAAAGCCTAATTGTGTAGTTATGGTTGAGTCCAGTCAAGACTAATCTAAAATCAGCTGGTGGGGATAGAGAGTAACTTCTACCTATTGTAGTGAAGACTAGCTTTAGTGAACAGGACGAAAAGAATTCCTGGGGGCTATCTTTTGCCATCTGCTGCCATAAATGCTACTCTAGTTGGGTGTTCGGGCTACATGTACAAACGGATATCAGTTGAGTTTGTGGGCAATAATACAGAATGCTTGGGAGGTGTCTTTATTTGAAATGGACTTCTCAAGAAATTAGGAGTCTCTCCTGCATCAGTTGCTTCAAAGCTAATGCAGTAGGAATGATACTAGGTGTGCTTTAGTAGTCTCGTTTCCTGTGTGTGCCCGAGGTCAGCCCCAGGTGTCATTCCTCAGGAACCGTCCATCTTGTTTTTTGAACCAAGAATCTCTCTCTGGAGTATGGGGTTCACCTAGCCTAGTAGTGAGGATGAGTGGCTGTGGGGGGGTGGTACCATGGAATGTTTTGTTACCATCTCTCCAGTGCTGGGATTCCAAGCTTGAACCACCATATCCAGTCTTCAGGCTTACAGCAACCACTGTCCCCACTGAGCTGCCTTCTTAGCCTTAGCCTTTCTTTACTTACTTGGGAAACTGTCTTAGGGTTGTCATTGCTGTAAAGAGACACCATGACCATGGCAACTCTCATCAAGGAAACATTTAATTGAGGTGGTTGCTTACAGTTTCAGAGGTTCAGTCCATTATCATCATGGCAGGGAGCGTGATGGTGTGCAGGCAGACTCGGTGCTAGAGCCAACAGTCCTGACATCTTGACTTAGAGGCAACAGGAAGTCAATGGACTGTCACACAGAGGGAAACTTGAGCAAAAGAGACCTTCCCCCACAGTGACACA